ATTAATTGGTGGGACAGGACAAGCTTGTCCTGTCCCACCAATTAATTGGAGATCTTGGTCTCTCTCATCTGCTACTTAGAAAGACAAAGGCTCTGTAGGGGGGGCTTGTTCACACCACCCTGTGCTGCCGGAGTATAAATCAGACCTCTCAGTGCGCGGGAACTTTGCCCAGAGTATAACTCAGTTTTTGCAACAAGGACATTTAATTTGAAACATGCAGCCGTCGAACCGAACTTACGGACACTCCGTGCGTAATTACGCACCCGCGTCGCAGAACGGTCAGTGCGCAAAGCCCTCCTCGGGTAAGTCCTTCACTATTGAGGCTTTGCTGGCCAAACCGGAGGAGAATATCACCACGAGTCCCACTCACAGCGGGTTAAAAGCGGCTGCGTGCGCGTTGCCCCTCGCTTCCTTACCCATGATGCCCGTGGCGTGCGTCTGCTCACCAAACGTGTTTCACTCCATCCAGCAGCAGCCTGGGTATTCTATGTACTGCTGCCCGCCGCTCACCTACCATTCAGCATGTCAAGGCACATTTTACTCACAAGGTAAGCGTGGATCTGACACAGAACGTGCGCGTGAACAAAATGAGGCTCGGAGCGGTGAGAATAAATCTTTTCTCTCATTGCAGCCGCCGCGTCCAACGTGAGCGCAGGGCTGCACGCGCTCAAAACCAAAGAAGGAAAGTCGAAACGGATGCGCACGAGCTTCACCAGCGAGCAGCTGTCCCGGCTGGAGAAGGAGTTCGCGCGGCAGCAGTACATGGTGGGCTCAGAGAGGTTCCTCCTGGCCTCCGCTCTGCAGCTCACAGAAGCGCAGGTGCGAACCTCAGCTTTAACATGCACATTTGATTAAACGTAGCTTTTTGTGTAATTGTTTTACTTGTGCCATCTTTAAAACTCTTGTAAATGAGTCCTCGTGACTCAATGAGACTAACCTGTAGAAATAAAGGTTGAATGAAAATAACGTGTTGCTCAGAAAGCACAATAATTATAATAATTATAATTTCCCCACGTTTCTAATGCGCTCTGCTTTTTTCCTCTTAAGGTTAAAGTCTGGTTCCAGAATCGACGCATTAAGTGGCGCAAGCAGAGTTTAGAGCAGCAACAGGCCAAACTGGCCAAACTGGGTCTGGCTGCTCCACCAAGAAGTCCTGGATCTGATGGCCACGGTGAGGGCGAGGTGTTCTCAGACTCAGATGTGGATGTTGACTCATCAGACCACAATTAACCTACTGGACTTCTGAACAAAGACATTTGAGAAAGGAGACCGCTGTTTCCAACTATACAACTATTTATAGCTATTTAAATTTCTACTTCCATAGGTTCATTTCATGTATTGCTATTTGATATATCCATAAATATATTTTATGACGAATTCAGCTTAGTTGTGTTTATTCAGAACAAAATCCTTTAGCTCTAAGCTGAAACACACACAACTTAGATTTTAATATTTCTTAAACCTGTTTCCATTTTCTAAAAGATTAAATTAACATATTTAGAACGTGTTAAAAACAACAACAATATATTTCTAAAATATGAACAGTGTTCTTTTTCTCCAACAAACGGAGTCATTGTTTTATTTTGGTTTACTTGTATTTACCTCAAATCTCTAGTTCAAGATTTTAGTATTTTTGTTGTTTTAAGAACACGTCAGCAACATATGACCCAAGAGCCAGAAATGGACACTGGACTATCTCCCATCAGGCCTTGATGCCCTAAAACAAATCAAAGTGCCCTGTGATGGACTGGAGACCTGTCCACGTGTCCCCTGCCTCTCGCACAGTGACTGCTGGACATGGGCACCAGTGACCCCCACAACCTTAAAAGGAAGAAGCAGGTAAAGGTAATGGAATAAATCAAAGCATTAAATGATTTTAACTAAAAAACACAATTTTATTAATGAAAACTAAACAAAATCAAAGTCGGACGTGTACTGTAAGGTTTGAAAAAAAAAGAAGACATTTTTGACCAAAAATGCTAGTCGAGTTACAAGTTGAAAATGTTTTTCAAATCATTTGTCTTTAAACTTATTACACAGCCCTTTGATGACTTTTAGTAGAAACTCACAAGCACAAGATTTGTGTTTAAAACTTAATGTTGACTATTGGAATCAGAACTGTTTGTCTGTTAGCAAAATGTTTCATGATTCATTGGACAGATTTTGTTCAAGCTCTCAGAGTAATTTGTGGCACATCGAACTGTTTAACACTTGGGGATAATTCAACTCAAGGTGGCACAGCTAATCAACGTTAGTCTATAAAAATGACTACCTAGTGAGTTTTACAGATATTGAGCTGAAGTTTAGCGTGGCAGCCGAGAGTCATACAAACAAAAAGTCCAAGCATTAACAGATTATGTGAGATATATCATGGTTTGACCAAGATGGCATCAAGTCCATCATTTACAAAATGAGCTCAGTCAAAACTCTGACATGAACTGCAGCTTCAAGTAAGGCTAGGCTTTTTATATATATATATATATATATATATATATATATATATATATA